CTAATTTTCGATATGTAAACAGTCGTTAAGGGAATGATAAACGGGAACGAAAACTTAACGAGTTTGTGTCCCAGGAGTCTAGAGTTTCATACGCCTTCGTTTGAGACTGTTTTGATTTGATGTATTCGACCTCGCCACATGCTTTGTTTGTTCTTTCATTTTGTCGTCTTCCCAGTTTGATTGTGATGTAACTGAATATGATATAAGCATATTCATAACATCATATTCGTGTGGGAATATTTCAATTTCTTTAGAATATGATGACATGCAGGTAACCGAAGAAATACAATATACATTGGCGCCTATTTGCGTGGCTACCGTGAAAAAATGTTCTCTTAATTCATTGACAACCAAAATCTACCATTCGAACAATCCAAATAATTTATGTCACCTTTTTATACATTTTATAACTTATTAAATTTATAACATTTGAACACGAGTAATTCGTTTTCAATTCATTTTATTTTCAAATTTAATTTAAATTCAACCTTCTTCCACGCGGTTTTTGTTCGAAGCCACTACTATGATATAAACCGCCCTTCCAAAAAAATAATAAGACTGACGAATATGAACTGGCGAATTTATAACACTTATTTGTAAAATATAATTTATTACGTTTATTTATATTCAAATTAGTATGATCCTTGACAACCTGGCAAAATATTATATAAACACTTATACGTATTTATTAAGCAGAATTAACACGATACAAGAGCCTTATAAATTAAATTAGGCAAAGTAAATATACGGGAAGGATTTATAATAATTTATCGGAATATTATTCAAACATGGTCCACGGTTTAACATTACGCGACAAACGTAATTTATATTTCCGCTATATGTCGCTGTCGTTCATTATTTCTGTACAAAAACCTTATCATTAGGCTTGCCATTGGAAATTCTACGACAGAAAATTATACTGAAAATAATGTATTACGTGTTACGTGTTAGAAGTGAAACGTGGGGTGACACGTAGGCGTCACCGCCCAGTAAGAAGCACGACCTACAAAGGTACTTTCGTATGTACCCAGGGCTGTATAGTCGAGGCTTTAGAATGCGCAGCAATTTTGCGACAATAGACTTTGTGCCGATTATTATACATTTATATTTTAGTAGCCACATCAATGACGTTAATTAAATCTTTAGAATTGAAATAATGTTATAACATGTTGACATCTGTATTTTCAACACAAAATGAAGCGCAAAATAAAACACAAGCGATCCTGGAATTCGCATTGCGACGCTAATAATTTTGTAAGATTGTTTAATAAAATCTAAAAATATATTATAAAATAAACTTATAAAATATTCAATGCGCTTATGACAATTTGACGCATGTTCACAGTCAATGTTTAGATAACTTTCCTTTTTAATGCCAATTTATGTCAAATTTTGAATTTTAAATTCAATATAAAGCCTTATGCTGTTATAATCCGTGTTTATATTGTGCTTTTCAAAAATCCCCCGTAATTATATCTTTTATAATATTCAAATTTTAAATGGCCGCTTATTAAAAATGAAATTACTTCGCGGTATATGTCATGTCGAAAACCTTTTAGCGCTCAATTTTTCTTGTCGATTTTGATGTGACCTCAGTCAAGTGATTGTTGTCACAGTCAGTCATTCCGGACGACTGGATGTGCTCATCAACATGCAAGTTAGCACTCTTTCACTATGCATGTATAGACCTTAAATGTGTATTTAAACATAAATATATAACTAAATTACAGAAGCAATAAAATTGTGTTGAAACTTAATTTTATAATGATTATATAGATCAATCAAATTGTATTGTTTTGAATTTAGACGGTTGTGTGCATGTTTCAATGACAACTTGTAAAAATGTTTCTCAGACGACTGCTTTGAAATTATCTTCAAAATGGTTCATTCAATCCCAAACTCCAATTCAAAACTGTATCCCAGCTAATATAACAATTATAAAATTTTCAGTCCTTCTATTCGTAAGAAGGGTGGAAAGCGTTATGCGTGAAATTAGTCAAGTAAACCACGAAATTAATTTAGTTAATCAATTGAAGGAAGTCTTAAAATATTGATTTCTTTCTTCCTTGTTCGTTCGACAGAACTATTAGAAATTGAGAAAGTTTTGAATTTTGTGCTTATTGAACAAAATACAATTGGAGTATTTTGATCAGATGATCTTCCTTCTTTACTTATTATTGTAAGCTTTTCCGAAGGGCTTTGCGGACAAGCGATTCCAGATAGAAAGTTGCTAACCATACGTTGCATTATTCTTTCAAGTCTGTTCCGATCTCATTTCATGCACACTGCGTAGTTATTAGAGGGAAATTAATATGCCTATTGTATTTCCGCTCCTCACCTACCTAACATAACCGGAAATACATAAACGAAACATACAGGAAGTTATATACCATCCTCGATGATCATTTAGGCCGCCGTATTGTACAAGATGTTGTTACAATTCTGCGACAAATAAACGTAAGAGCATAACCAGCCGATAATTTCGCGAAAAACCAGTTTCGTGTCTTATCAATCTTGCATGAGACGCAAAATTTTTTTGATGAAATAAATCTGTTCTTATATTCTATTGTCAATTATATATTTATAAAGCAATAAAAATGGCATGCTTGTGAATTTTTTCTTATTATTGAAGTACTTCCAGGTGACGCTAATTAATAGGTATAAAAATACAACTACAAGCAAGATCAAGTTTATAATTACAAGTTTTGAATATCTAGTTACACTTTTAAAAAAGTTGAATGTTTTTCTCGAATGTTATAGTCATCAAATACGACCAATACAATTAGTCTTAGATTCCTTCTTGGCAGACCAGGGCCGAGCAAAATATTTTATTTCAACTTCACTTTGAACGTTACAATTAATGACAATATCTGTTAGCTTCAAATAAAATTAACAAATCTTTTTTATTTAAAAGATTTGTATTGCTGCAGTATACTGTTAATGTGATAAAAAGTTTCTCCCAAGCGGAAACACGTCGTTAATTTGTCGACAAATTAAATTTTGAAATCAATTTTCTCATTTATTTCCTAAATTCCATCGGACTGGTCTATAATTAACCATCAACACTTCACAAAAACATAACATTAATTTTTTTGTAATTTATACTTTTTCATAAAGTGTTTTTTTACCGAAAAAATGTAAGTCGGCGATTTGTAAAGATCATAGGAGAGGAGTATTTGAGTTTTCATTCGCTGCCAAAGACAGCATATGCAAGGATTATAGAATGCCGAGAAACGATTTAATAATTTTATAGTATGCCAAATGTATTACAAGTTCATATATTATTCTTCAGAAAACTTCTATACCTATATCAGGTTTGAGACATTAGAAGATTGAAATTATAGTTAAAGACTGCTCGAGATGTGAGAAGTAGTGGGATACATACAAACATATAGGGAAAACTCGCACAGGCAAATTAAATCACCATTTTTTGTATTTAAATTTGAAAAGCGCTCAAGAAAGTGTTAATATTCTTGTTGTAAACATAACATCTTTCACTAAATATAAAGACGACAAATTTTTGATTTTTGTTTATATACTTTAGTTTCTTACTATTACAGCAGAGATGGTATGCCAATTCAATTTTTCTCGTAAGTGCATAGCCTACTTGACCTAGGAATTAAATTAAGATGGTAGTAATATAAATTTCTTGATGTCGTCGTAAAACTGAATTTTAGCACCGTGACTATTGTTTGAACATGTTAAACTGTGTCAAGATCTCGACGGACAAATAATAAAAGTAACGCTGTTTGTTGACAGTCTACTGGCAAATAATCGTCCGCAAGCTGAGAAAATAAACAAAATTGGAAACAGCGACTAATTATGACAAACAATAAAGTCCTATGGACATTATTTGATGGACCTTGTTTACTTAAAAGATAGAGCTCAGCCGATATCAGATCGTAAACCGACTTGTCGAGGTGTGAGATGTGACGTCATAACATGAATTCCGGCGGGGTGCAATGGTCAGAAAGATTATCAATTGTCTCTCTCGTTTTCTAAATTCTCTCGTTTTTTTGCATTTGACGACCGATATTACTTTCTCATAACTGTGGTTAAACTTGATAACGTCCATTACAACTAAAATTCCAATTAATGCTGCACATTTTTTCTTTCCGCATTATTTCACGCCCCATTGATTACGTTCCCATTCTTTTCTTTTTCTTTAAAAGTATAATCAATGCGAAGTGTATTCGGGCGACGAATATATCGAATAAATGCAACCATTTTAGATCAAAATTATCATTTGCGATAAGTGTTCCGTCGAGGATAGTCGGGTTTCTGACTTATATAGTGATAAGTGTAATCAGTTGCGGTTCACATCAAATTATAGTTGTCCAGTTTTCATAGCAAGTTATGCGTTTGCTAACTTCGGTTAGTATAGTAAATGTTATATTTGGTTGAGAGACCCGGAAGTTGGAATGCACTGTATTAGCTGTACCATTATTAGTATTGAAACTTGATAATTAAAGTGACTTTGACATTTTAAAGCAGCATATTGGTATTTTAATGATTATATTAAATATTGGGATAAAGTTTGCTGAATTTGGGTGAGTTTTGGGATTATTTGTTTTTGTTACATTTACCCACATCGTCAATATTGTAATGATACGTCTATTTTCGGAATTGATTGAGATGTAAATGAAACTATAAATATTAATTATTTTAATAATAAAAATTATAATAATATTATACACTTTATTAGTAAATAAATAAATACCTTATTGCCAAGACGTAGATCGAGCGTAACTGTGAACGTCACCGCGGAATTTCCCGAAAAATGGCGACGGAGACCTTCTTGCCGAATCCATTTGTAGTGATAAGAAAGTGTGTTTTAGATTGTTTTAAATTTTACAATCGTATCAACTAAAACAGCGGCCGAGACTTGCAAAATTCTGACCGTTATTGGAAATAACTGTCTTGGATATCATGCGCATGTTCTCACTCATATTTTATTGCCTTTTTAATTTCTAATGAATATTTACCGTTTCAAATTGCAGACGAGAAAGAATTGAAACAGAGAGACGAAAACCAAGTTACGAGCCCAAAAAATACAGGTGTGTTCCATATTTATTATTTTCTGTTCCTTTTTATGATGCAATTGGTTTTACGCCTGTTCAGCGACACTTGGTAATTGGTATAGCGTAGTTAAGTTCATGTATATTGTTCTTGTGTACTTTGAAAGTTACACGATTTCGTTATTGTCACGGAAAAAATGTTTCGGCATTTTTTCACCATAATGCTGTTTGATCTACCGCCGGAATCAAATTTTTCTCATGAGTATTTTCACAGTAATATAGTATTTACCACGCGTTACGTGAACTATTATCAAGATGAAATAATTGGACAGAGTAGACTAGCTAATGTAAAGAGGTTTGAACAGCTGTACTTCGACCGGTACTAATTAATATGGGAAAGCAGATTTTGTCATTTTGAAGCAAATTATTATTTTAAAACCAGGCGGATGTCATAGATGATCGCGGATTCATTTTTGGTTTCATGAGGGTCTCAACTATGTATCATGCCATCTCGACTATTGAATTAGCTTTATATTCGTGCGTCGAAATTTAAAATTGACATAACTTAACAGAAAATATTTCCAAGTCCTCTCAAGTGCCCCATAAATGATGTCCGCAACTTTCTGTTCAAACAAGTCACCCTTAACAAATTCGCACTCAATGGCCCAGTGCGTCACAAGCCGAGGGGTCGCTCAGAAGCTCTCATAACGACCTTGAGTATTTACAGAGCACGCTACGACAATAATTTCTGTGATGAAAATGTTCCGCTTGAAATTCTAAAAACAAGTTAGAAAGTGATTTGTTGTCGCATTCATGTTATTCATAATGGTTTTGCTTGATCTGTCGACTTTAAGCATCGAATGACAAAGAATCTGGTGTGTGTCGGGAAAAATTCACTGAAATTACATTGTGATTTGAAATAGCGGCTAAATGTAACTACCACAAAATACTAGCGATTTTTCGAGCTTTTCACACGACGACGGGATTTTTCTTACATTTTCGAGTAATTGAATTAATTCTGACTATAGCAGTGTTTACTTTCGTAATCAAGTACCATACACTTTGATCGAGTATTATAATCCAACGAAATGCAAAAGTGGCGAATAACAAAAGATGTAGGTTCCAAGATATGTCGATCTCTGTCAAATTATAACGACACAAGTGATGGAGACCAATACGCTGTGTACACATGTCGTATTTGAACAAATTTCCTTCGAGTGCCATTTTAAACGGATCCAGCTATTCTCGATATCAAAATTAGTGTAAAGTTTAATTCGCTGTTATTATAAAGTGAAAATCTCAATTATTGCTGTTAAACTGAAAACGACTAGTCAAGACCACTTGAATTTTTACAATATTTGTTTTTTTAATTTTATGTTTCTGGATTGAGTAGCGCGATAATTATCGAGCCAATTGTGAACAATGTTTATAATAGCTTGATCAAAAAAGTAATTACTTTCCGGGATAGTGTAATCTTGAATTAGACAAACAGTTTTTTTTTTTTAATTTTGATCATAAAAAATATCTCTCGTATGGACAGATTTAAAATAATATCGAATATGAACAAGTAATTTATATGCGGTAATCTCGTAATTCCCCGCAGATATTTTTATCTTCGATATGATTGAACTTCGGAGCATCATTTCGATCAAGCCATTTTATCGCGTCGTTAATCTATTGAAGCATCTCCACGTAAATCAAGAATGAAACATCCATTGGCCATTGTCAATCCTAGCTGGGATATTATTTTATTGTAGCTATTGTTTATTGTGACGACCTACATTGAAAAATATGGCGTCGATTGTTTATAATTTCCTATAACTGATAGCTTGATTTTATTATTATTATTACTGTATGATATACATTGCGCAATAACAAAGGCGGGGAGACTTGACCTAGTTATCTTCAACATGAATAAGCAAAAGCATATGTCGAGCGTTAGATGATACCTACATATCTGGAACATAATTATTCCTTGACTGTGATTGACACGATCTATGAATGCAATGCTATAGTTAACTCGAGACACAATCTTTTGAAGAATTTTTGCTGAGATATATATACTCAATTTGAAACTCGTTGAAGTGTTTGGTTTGAAAGTTGAAAAATCGGCCTTTGACCTTATATTTTCCGTGTTTCGACGACTTTCTCGGATGTGAAAGGTCACTGAGAAAGTCTGATTTTTAAACCCTTAACGGCAGCCATACATGGCCTAGAAAAGATATGCATATGACTACGCAATGCCGTAACCACATATTTTGAAAATGAGATATGGGAGCACGTGACATGCGAATACCGGATGAATGAGAATTTTACAATTTTCAGGAACCATAGGTCAATACGAGCCGTAGCAGATATTCCATGAAAGCAATTGAGTGATCAGTCGTTACTCATTACCTTTTTGAGGGTGAAACCCAGGAATAACCCGATAAATTTGACAAAGTAGCAAAAGATCGAGTTATTAAAACAAGCTCCGATTACCTGTTTAGCGTGCGAATATTATGCGACCCCATCTCGAATTACGTCTGTACCCGGAGAAATATTTTCATCCATCATTCGTCGCTACACTGTTTGGGATTATTGGTCGATGTAAAATGGATATCTTTTGACCTCGGTCACCCCTTAAATAGGAGAGTGCATAACAAGACAGTAAACTAACAAATCAAATTATTTGGTTTGCGGTTCCGTGGCTGTGTTGAAGCGCATGCACAGGAAGTGCGACAAATTATTTCCTCCTGAATTCTGATCGGATGTGACAAGTTATCACTTGTTCCCATATTGAAAAGTTTACAGAATTCAGTTTTTCAATGTCTATTTTCAAACGTCGTATAATAATCCATCAGTCTAGTCGACTCTCGTTACGAACGATTTATTACCGGAGAGTCAAACCGAAAAAATGACCGGTATTTAGACAAAAATACTGCCATCGTTGTACCAACGATTGATGATCTTATTAGCGCCAGTAATTTATACCATGATCGCTTTTCACCAGACCATATCGCAACGCATAACTATGATAAACATGTGGGATTTTTACAGAGATTCAAAACAAGTTTGCTTTGCAATACAAAGATTTTGAGTGTTGTTACCTCTATCTAACAACCTATATCAATATTGCGTTGCCAACAACTAGGTATTTTCTAATAATGTAAATTACTTGTATCGTTGGCACATAATATAGGCATAATTGAGAAATCTAGTTTATATTTCTGTGCATAATAAATGAGAAATGACAGACGTACAATGAGCGATTTTCACCAGTTGTTTGGTGCGACCTGTTTTTACTACGCACGTGTCATACTTTTTAAGCTAAAACGAATGATATGAATTAGGGATGGTGAATTATCAAAACTATTTCGCAAATATGTGTTCCTTTAGATTTCCCCATCTCTAATACAAAAAGTATACAAAAATGGATATAAAAGAAGAATGATTTGCATGGACATGTTTCTATAGATGCAACAAATTACTTCCCGTTTTGGTTCGAAGGTCACTTGAGACCGTCATCGATCGCTTGGAATCTTAAATTTGCAATTAAATAGATAATTTATTACACGCCTCGTTTCACAATATTTTCAATATACAACAATAAGTGATTTTAATTTAACTTGAATGTGTCTGTAGTGTGATCCGTCAATCGTTGTCACTTCGTCGATTTCCATACTATTATTACCAGATGGGAAAACTTGTTGATTCGTAGAATAACGGAGTGAGGTCACAGCGCCTCGCGACATCACAAAAGTTCCAACGATCTGTGTATTAGAGATAGTTTTACATATGTATTCGAGATGACTTGGCCACAGATTGTAATTCTATTTTTATACGTTTCATTCTCAAATTTTTTTCCATTAAATCTGCTACAAAAACCGAAAACCAGATATTTTTTGCTTGGGGATTTGTAAAATTTTGGAAAATTTCCAACTTTTTTTGGCAAACATTTTTAGACCGTTCCATGTCACGATCCATTTCGATATATTTCAATAAATTTTGGTAAGACACCCGTATCATAACATAGTTATCTTTGTAGATTTAACATCGGTCAGTATTCTAGTTCACTGAACGAGTCAGTTCAACAATATTTAATTATTGTAATTGTAAAGTTTTTAATGTTTGATTTGTAAATGTATATACTAATTACTAAAAGTGCCAAACGAATACATTAATGGAAATTTGGTTAAGCGCGTTTCACAGTTATGAAAATTAAGTGAATACTTTCGAATATTAGACTTCCAACATCGAGTCAAGTCCAAATAGACTATCAGCCGCCATCTAAAATGAGCATGACCGCGCGCGTTTTTTAGTTATGCCGATTTTTGAGTTATAACGACGACGCGTAAATTGGTCGATATGTCGGCCCGTGTAAAATGATATCGCCATTTTGCAATACGCATTCCCACCCAACGGATAAAATAAACCCCGGCCCAAGTAAGATACCGTGTTTTGCAAAATTTGTTGAAAGGAGAATATTATTTTTTCCTGAACGCCGTTTGATGTCCAATTCGGAATCGAAAATAAAAAAAAGCATTAACGATTTGTAAACAAAGGGTTCTTTATGTCCGTAAATAGATACGAAACTGGCTCCAACAGTATTTCTTGGTCAAATAGTGAAATTGTTAAAATGGACAAATCTTCATTTGTCATTGCAATAATTCACAAGAACTTCAACATATCTTACCTACGTGAGTGCATTAGATAAATTATGGGTCGTTCATAAAATTCTCGAATTAATTGTCCGTCAGTTTTTGGGAAAGACGTAGTGTTTCATTTATTTACATGCTTTTAGTAAAAACGTCAAAATAGTCCCATTTGATGCGTGTTGTTTGCCCATAACGATATCTGAGATATCTTTGTAGGTTTTGTTTTCAGTTTTGAATCAGTTATTATTTTGAATGTAACCATCGAACCAACACACCAGACTCCGTAATTTATGATCATAACATCATCTATAAGCAAAAGGCAAATCATAACAAAAAAATTATATTTACCCGTTGAACACCTCGATCACATATCAGGTTATAACCTGAATCTAATATGGACGGAATGTGACGAGAGAGTCAAATTAACAAATTCATATTATGTGCCCTAATGTACAAGGTTTAATTTTTGTAAAAAGCATCATTGACCGCTTTTGTTTGGAGAGTGAGAGATCAGCACCCAATTTTTTACCCCTAATACCTCGAGCCCTTGTTTAGCATTTGGATATGATTCACCATACGTGATAGTTATCAGATAGAAAAAATGAGGAACGAGACAACAATTACAAAGAAGACGTAACCGTATGAACGACCATATCAAAATAAAATACTCAACAAAGTTATACGCACAAGAAAAAAACAAATGTTTGTATTTGAACTTGTTCCTACACCTCTTTGTAGTCGAAGCTCCGGAATTCAACCCATTTTTGAATTGTCTCGCATCTCTTTCCGATTTGCCCATCAATTTGTGATTGTTGTGACTGGGTTCCTTGTGTATATGTGGATGTATTAGAAATGCTACTTTTCAACAAACCGAAATATGTTCCTAGAAATTTTTGTATCCGGCACTTGTAATCAGCTTCAGTGCAACGTCGGCGCAAACGTATCAAAAATGAATCAAAAATAATTGTGCATGTTGGTCGTTGATGCCCAGAGAATTTGGATGTAATTTGAAATTAATCAATATCAATTTTCATTAAAAAATCACATAAATAAGGTAGTTTTTTTCGTGAAAGTATTTATAACCTACTCTAGCTTGACCCTGAATGATGCACTCTTCAATTGTTGACGCGAGCTTGGCTTGGTATAAAAACAATGCAAATTCCCGTGACCCTTAAGACAGCATACGCATTCCATACACGCAAATTCATTAGTTATACGTCGTCTTTTTCGCCATATTTTTGCAAACATTAATTTTTATAATAGGTTGGAATCGAATATTCTGCAATTTAGAGATTTGCTAGTAATCCAGGATGAAGCGGAAACACTCAAGTAATAAGCACGATTGTGAAACCTTGACCGGAAAATACGCATACGCAATAATATTAATACTCGATAATATTAATACGCGATAATGAATGCATTCTTTGTTGTCCGACAAATTAACACGTCTTTTATCAATCGTCGCCTTAATCATCGCAAAACCCCAAAATCCATAAACAAACAGCGCAAGAAAAGTGGTCTGTCGCATTTAACATTATCATGTTTTATACCCACGCATGGCCTGTACTAAATTATACAAGCCGATACAATTTAAGTATGCGCTACGCGCGGCAGAAAGTAATATAATCCTCCTACTGAAACCGGATAATATGCATGTTGGGGTAATTTATAACGTAATATTACAAACGGCGAAATAGAGCGTATATTATATATTACTCTCCCTGCATGACACTTTTTATTGTAAATATGATATGTACAACATCCGTTCTAATTTGTTAGCAAATAAGAACAAGCAGTCAACATTGGATCTTTTATATTATTACGTTCAACTTCGTACAGGGTTCAGTTCATAAATGGCTAGTTAGGTGGTTTATATGTACGATTAGATTATTCGCTATACACAGTTCCCTACCTGTATGGCTCTATTGGAATCAGTTATGTTCATAGATAGACATTGTATATTATTAAAATATTTTGGTTAAAATTCGTATCCTCATTTAATAGAACGCAAATATGGGAAAGAAAAAGAATATTATTTAGATTTACTCGATTTAGATTTATTACTGTCTACTTATAAAAGTTGCCGCAAATTTTTCATTTTCTTGATTGTGATTTGCAATTGAAATGAACTTTCGTTTTTTTTTTCGAATTTAGTGTCACCGGAACAGCCTCTGCAATACACAGGCCAAGAGGTGCCTCTACGAGAGAACACAGGGGAAATGTACCCCTGCAGGAGATGTGATAGGACTTTTGATACATTGGGAGATTTCGTGCAACACAATAAATATGATTGCCCGGTATGTAATCTTACTTGTTACAAATTTTGCTTTTTCGTTATGCATGATATATTTCGCAACAGTTTGATTGAATTACAGCGTTAAAAATAAACTTGAACAAATCGTTTAGAATATAAGGACAAATTCGGAAACTGAAGATAAAATGGTGGAAGAAGAACATTTTCCCGAAGGTGAATACATCAACGGAAATAATTCGCATTCGAATATCAACAATTTCGTCATAAGTGGTGACGTCATAATGGCAAACGGCGAAGATCTCGTTTCAGATGTTGAAACTGAAAGACGAGAAACTGATGGTGACATTGATGACGCAATCTCTTCTAAAGATGGTGTGCAAGATGATGACATCAGTCCGGACGGAACTGCAGGCGTAATGCTGGAGTCTCTAAGCGGTACACGCGTGGCTGTGGCTCAGACCGTCGCCGAAACCGAATCTATCGATGGAATACAGCGTGATACTAGCATTGCTAAAATGGGTGAGTAATATTTGTTTCAATAAAAAACAAATTCATAAAACGTTCTAATTAGTCTCTTATTTTTTTTCGACGTAATTACCTGATAATTTAATTACCATTAGCTGATCACTGTTTCAAATTTATGTGATAATTTTTTTCTTAGATGAACCTGAGGTCTGTACTGAATTGGATAACCGCAGCGTCACACCAGTCGAACGTCAGAATATGAATGAACGTTCGCCTTCGCTACGAGATAACACAGAGAGCAATGAATATTCGCCTCTCTCCAAGCAAGGTGAAGTTGATGAATCAGAAAATTTACGGAAAGAAATCATGGCAACAGAAGTTATGGCTCAAGCTATTCAAAACATGACGGCTTTTGCCACGCAAGCAAATGGTGAGCGGAGTGAAGAAAATTCGGGTAAACCAGATATCAGCGCAATTAAATATCAAGTTCGAATGATTCAACAACAACAAGCTTATCAAGTTCAAATGTTGAATTTTTTGCAATGGCAGTTGGCACTGGCTTCCTCTAATCCTCAAGGAGCAGTAACAGCAGCCAATCTCCGAAATGGACCCTTGTTAAATGGACAAGGTGGTATAAATCCAGCGATACAGACTCAATTGTTATCCGCGCAAAGTGGATTCGGAAACGCCGGTCTAATGCCACAAATGATGGCCATGGCAATGAACAATTTCCAACAACAGCAAAACGTAACGGCAGATCAGAATGGATTGGCAGAATTGGCGAAAGCAAGATTCATGATGATGCAAGGAATGTCAAATGCCGAAAATGACCCGAAGATGCGAAGTATGTTCGCTAGATCTGCTGTTGCGCACGAAGCTGTAGAACGAGAACCAGAACAGCGATATCACTTGAAAGAACCGACTGGAGAAGATGAAATATTGCAACGAAGACCATCAGAAGAAGCAAATAATGACCAGAATAACGTACACGATAGAGCAGAGTCGCCAAACAAAGCTAGCCGATCTAAATCAGATTCCGGTTATGACGATGAAGTTAGATCGAGTTCTCAAGGAAACGTAGCTGATGACGCTTCATCATCTCACGAATCACAGGAAGACGGGGAGTTAAGAGATGGAATTCTAAAAGCAACTGCAGAGGAAAACAGGCACAGATGTCGATTTTGCCATAAAATCTTCGGCAGTGACAGCGCGTTGCAGATCCACATTCGATCACATACCGGCGAAAGACCATACAAATGCAACATATGTGGAAATCGTTTTACAACCAAAGGAAATCTCAAAGTTCACTTCACTCGACACAAGTCCAAGTATCCACACATTCCAATGAACAATCAGCCTGTACCTGAATACCTGGACCATGTACCAACTTCAAACGGAGTACCATATGGTATGTCCATTTTACCAGAGAAAGCCGTTTTAGAGAGACCTCGTCTTCATGGAAACCCAAGCATACATCTTAATCCTCAGCAAGCTGTAGCTTTCGGTCAACGAGAAATGCACTCTCATGGCCTTCAAGGTCTGATGATGCCTACTCACCTGGGCGCCAAGTCTGGAAGCGATTCTCTTCACCGGCAAGATTATCCTGAAATGGGAATGCCTAATGGAATGGGGCCCGCAGAAGTAGCATCAGCTATTCAAATGCAACTACTTCAACGCAGAAGAGCTGAATATTTAGAATCGCAATGGGCCAGAAGTGAACAGAATACTTCACCCCAGCCCAATGACGCAACGGACCCAAAAAATTCAATGTCAATCTTGCAAGCTGCTATGCTGCCATTTCTACCTGGCATTGCTGCTCGACAACAAATGGAGAACATTCCACCTCATTTACGTTATCTACATCACCTTCATGCGCTAAAAGCACGAACCGCATCAAATGGCATGGGAGATAACAACAATAATACTGATATACTGCTCCCAACTTTATCTCGTACAGGTAGTCCACCACCAACACTAAAAATGGATGAAAAACACCTGAACTCGCACGGAGCAGGTTTTCCCGAAATCAACAAAATGGCTGCCGGAATCGGCCATGTCCCATCGCAAACTGGTCCGACGCAGTCCTCCGAAACAAGCAAACTGCAAAGGCTCGTAGAAAATATTGACAGAGGCAGAGTTCTGCAAAAGAATGAGTGCCATATGTGCCACAGAATACTCAGCTGCCAGAGTGCTTTGAAACTTCATTACAGAACCCACACAGGTGCGTTGTTCAATATGAAAAAAATAAAGCATTTTTTTACATTTTACTATTTCATTCACCACAAGGATGTAATTTTTAAGATATAAAATGTAGGTCAGTTAGAATCTAACATGGTTTAAATACAAGCATCGACTTAGTTATTGGTGTGTTGTCATTTCTGTAACTATTTTACACATAGCCTAATATATAATTGGGTGCTTACCTGAATACTCTTAGATTAGGATAAAAGTAAACAAACTAGTTTCATTCCTTGATATAATATTTTACAGGAGAACGACCATACAAATGCGACCTGTGTTCCCGTGCTTTTACGACTCGTGGAAATCTCCGTACACATTACAGCAGTGTCCACAGACAGCAAATGCGTCCTTTGCCTCCGGGTGGTCACTCTGGACGATCCGTTCAATCGGAACCGTTTGCTTGCAGTTTGTGTCCGGCGCGATTTCGAGAAGCCGTTGAATACCAACACCATATGCAAATGCACGCAATGGTTCAGGTTCAACAACAACATCGCATGCAAGGTACGTATCTTGAAATTGATAATTACAACTAAATATATATCTTTTATTTATTCAGCATCAATCTGTAGTTTCATTACTGTATTTAGCTTAAGCACAACGACGACATCATGGTGAGGTTCACTTGTTAGGACTTTCGGCTATGGCTAAATAGAAACTGAGATAATTTTTGGATTTAGTATTTTATTCCTTATAATATTAAATCTATTTCTTTATAGCACCGGAGCTTGGCAAACACCACAGCGTGTCCCCCTCGAGAACAGAGGATTCCAATGGATCGATTGACTTGAAAACGGCTCATGGAGATTGTAGTGACACGATAGTGAAAGAAGAACCAACTGGAGAACAAGACGACCAACTAGATGATAGAATGATATCCAACAACAGTGTCACTGAGGTTCAAAATGACAGTTTGAAGAGTTTTGTTGACAGAGATGGGAACGATAAATCTGAAACTTCTGAATATACGAAAGATAGCGACGTACAAATAGATGACTCGACATGCATGAACGGTGTTGTCAAAAACGGGACACAAATGTCACCGAAATCTGATCCAAGCATCGGAGAAGCTTCCGGAGATTCTAACGACTCCGTTGATCGATTTACTCTACCTGCTACCAATCCATTGGACTCACTTGCTGCTCTATCAAACTTGAGTGCTGGGTATGTACACTTCAATATGTTGATTTCCCAATAATTAAATGCCCCTACTTCTAATTTATATTTGTGATTACATATATGCATAAAAACATGCAATCAAAGTTGTACTCTAAATGTCGGTATTGATCTTCTTACTTTATTATAATTTATGTCATGGTTTATAATTTTTAGGACTGATACAACACAACATACTGGATCAATGCTTGACCATCAGTTGGCAGCCCTACGCCGTGCTCGTGATGGGCGCTTGACTGTTTGTGAAATATGCGAAAAGCCATTTTCTTGTCAAAGTGCTCTAGAGGTAAGCTCTTTGGTTTCGAATATTTTTCATGTTTTTTGAAACAATTTGCAGTGGATTAGTAGTGACATTGAAGAAAAGGCTATTTTAAAGTAAAAATATGATAATCTTAATTCTCTAATATTTTATAACAATACAGATTCACCTTCGTACACATACAAAGGAAAGACCATTCATGTGTCAGATTTGTCAAAGATCATTCACTACAAAAGGAAATCTCAAGCAGCATCTTCTAACTCATAATATAACTGATATTCCGGATCAAATGCTGGCACCGGCATTAAGCCCCAACGGTATGAAATATTAAATATTTCAATTTTCATCCAAGCCTTCCTCGAACCTTTAAATAAACCGTTATTTCTAAATTACAGGAGAAAATAGCGCTTCCACGACACCGTCGTCTTCCCCCACACCCAATGAATCAGATTGCTCAGCTTACAGCCTCAAGGTATGTAGGTTTAATGACATTTGTCTTAAATTCATTATATGATATATTTATTAATTCATTTATGCTCATGCAAATGCTCAACAGAGTATTGAAGAATATAGTTTTACGAATGTTGGCGACAAGAGTTACGAATTGCGCTCAAATAAATTTAAGTTTGCTGGTGTCATCCACATTAAGCGCGGGTGCCACAACGAAATTGGATATTATTATTCGAATTTTCAAGCTGACATACAAGTGAATTTGTAGCACTGTATTTCACGATGTCCTTCATTTCTTATACAGAGACCCATGGAATCGACTGGTAACGGTGAACCCGCAACCAAGCGTACTTATCCTCGTCATTGGTGTCACATTTGCCAAAAGCAATTTTCATCTGCTAGCTCACTTCAGGTAAGTCCTTGTTGTCAGTGCAGTATTTCAGATTAAATACCATGAAAATGACTCTCCGTTGATTTCGACCAGTTGAATTCTGGTAATACAAATTTTTCGTGTCGGCTTGGGCGCAATGCAAATACATTAATTTACACTGGAATGTAAAACCCTATCTTTTTGATCTAGATGGTGTATTAATTTCATTCAATTTCACAGATACACAACCGAACTCACACTGGGGAAAAACCATTTGCGTGTAGCGTGTGTGGACGGGCATTTACGACAAAGGGAAACTTGAAGGTAATAATTCAAAATTAGATTTAGATTCTATGAATTTGATCATGATTGAATTAGTTGTGTTCTAACGAACAACACTCTATATACTCTACGCGAGAGAAAGAAAATTAAACCAAAATCACAATCCAACTGATTTGAGTTTGATATAATATGTGTAAGAATTATAATAACTTTTTCTGTGCAGGTGCATATGGGAACTCACGTCTGGGGCGCCGGAGGCTCGCGCAGGGGAAGACGCATTTCTATGGACAATCCCTTAATCTCACCATGGATGAAAAATATGACGAGACCTCGCCCAGCACCACAACCCGGTATGGTTATGCCCACTACAGGCCACGTAACGGATCCGGCAGCACTCTACCAGGTATTATTTTCGTATGTAGCTTAGTTCAACGTTTTAGTTTTCCTCTTCCTTTTTATTCATAATGAAAATATTCCAGATTTTGGCCATCTTAATTTCCTATGAAACTGAAAAGTTTTTAACAAAAAATATTTTACATTCAGCAATACGCAGCCATCGCAAGTGGCCTGTTTGCAAAACAGGACCCATCGGCCAGGTTTATGCTCCCGATCATCAACGGACAACAAGGAAATTCGGCTTCTAATTCTGCATCATCACCAGGTATGTTGTAGCCTATCTCGTTTTATTGTTCGTTATTGTCTGATGTCTAATTTCACCAGGGTATGCTAGGTGGTGGTAATCCAAATCGTTTGTTATAAATAAAACGAGATGTAAAACGGATGAATTAATATGTAATTTTTTATCCAATTTCAGTGTCTTCCAGTGGTTCACCTCTTCCACCAAATGAAGTCAGCCCACAGCAAAATAGAGTAAACGGTACAAATATACCTAACACGGCAGTGTCTGCGGCTACTGAGTGGTTTTTAAAAGCTTATCAGCGCACTCAGGAACAGGTATGATTAAATTGGTATATACCGATATAATATTACGACTGTATATGTTATCCCTGAACAAATAGTAACAGTTGTTAATGTTTGTTTGTCTCTATCATACGAGAAGTATAATTGCGACCAACTGCAACACAATCTGCTTTTCGAACTTCAACTGTGTTTATGTAATGTAATGCCTCAATTCTATGTAATTATTTATTGTTTTATTTCAATTTCATCAACAGGTCAACTAAAAATTCTTCGTTCAACTCGGGAGATTTTAGAAGCACACTTTTGAGAAGGGATTTATTTAAAATAAAAGAGTCAACCCTTTCTTCTTTCTTGATGTTTTTGTCGGATGGTGCTATTGTGTTTTTGAATTCATATTTCTTTTTGCTAGCTATTTTTTTCTGTATCAACATAGAAATGTTCAAAATTTGTCATTACTGCTTTTCCGTTGACATACAGCAATTCGGCATTGTGACATATCCTTTTCATAACGCGAATTTTAAGGGTTATCTTTTCCATATCGCATGTGAAGCTTTATCAGTGCTGCTTTCTACACTCTAGCTGCTATTATTTTCTTAGTGTTTCTTTTTCGTGTGCTGTTATATAAAGAAATTCATTTTCAATTTACATTCTAAGGGGTTTATTTATCCTCGAATATATTTGTTTTCGTAGGCCACTTGTTGGTCTATTTCAGTGTACACTATCGAAAATGTAAATATTTCTTTTTTTGTTAATATGTAGTTATTACACAATGTCATTATCATTGCTTAGAGTATTTATGTCATTGCTGGTTACCTATCATGACTACTACCACAACTAACACTGTTATATATTACGATAGTAATATGACTATCTGTGCGATGCAAAATGTACTTCACGGAAATATGAATTTTTTCTAAGTTTGTTTTTCATTTTGCGATCGCTCCTTTGTCCATTGAATCAAATTAGCTATGGCCATACCGCATATCCTGCATTCTAACATTTAGGTCTCATTTTCATCAATATTATTGTTGTGCAAAATCTGTTATTAATTAAAGTCGGAAACAAAAGCCCATGTCTTTTAATAACAAAATGATGTCAAATCGTACTTTTCTCGTAGAATTGAACTCCATGAACTAACGTTGAATTTGATGAAACATTTGTGCGCTGCACTTCCATTGTCACAAAACATGAACAATATTTCGTATTTCTTTTCTGAAAATTTTGTATTGTATTATTCTCCATTCTATTTATTTTCCATTGCAAATCCCTAGTTAATGCTTTATTCCTACATCCGTATTCATTGCTGATGTTTGTCACCCTTTCATCATTCACGGGCAACGTCAGTTTTTGCGACAAATTCATCGAAATGATAAATCTTTTCAAATTCAATATCTCATTTATAGTAATAAAATGGGATTTTCAAATGTTTCGTTGTTTTTGTTTCTTCCTCGTGTTATGGGGATCAGGTGGTAGGTTACCACCATATGCATTGTATTGAAGTAACATGAATGCATTTGGGCATCAATTATGGTATAGCAACAACTATATAAAAGTATTTTTTTATTGAATATTACGCAAATAGATGTCGGCAAGCCGTTTTACCGGACAAGTTTTATAAATATAAAATATCCCCCCCCCCCCCCCCCCCCCCCCAAAAAAAAAAAACGAATATAGGTATTGTCTATAAATAGTGTTTCGCAACTGTGGAGGTGTTGGAAGGGATGTGACGTCGAGATGGGCGATTGTGTAACGCCGGTAAATTGATGACTATCTACTCCCAAAGTTAAGATAACTCAGTCCCGCATAAATCAAATTTATGTTTAAGTTAGAACTTCTTACCAAACATAGAGGGGAGATATCCATCAATAATTAAGTATTTTTTGTGTTAACTATATGATCACTGATTTTAGCAATTCTTTAGCGTGCGTAACTTCCGTGTTTTGACACCCATACTTTAAATGGGCATGCATTTCATCCATTGTTGTAGTTGATTCATACCTGTCTTGATAATGTCTGACCTAGGTTTAGTATGCTCGAATCCCGTGAAAGTTTTATCTTCACTCTTGCTACAGCATCCTTGCAATATATGCCTAAGGCACCGGCCGGCGCAAAAGTATAAAGAAAAAGTAAGTAGATAATCTTACAGAAAGCCAGTCGATAGCACACAAGGTATATACCGGGCGTCAACATTACATACTAGCTCTGTTTCATAGAATGGTGTAGCAGTTGGCCAAATACAGCCTGAACTGTAACTATAGATTGGCATACAAGTTAGGGCAATCCCGTAGTATGTGAACCAAGATGGCGGACACCGGAGAGTAGTACGTGTACCAGGTTAGGGTTAGGACATAGTTCCAGGTACAAATACTACGGGAGTCACTTGGCTAGTCCCCGAACTCGTACCAGAACTAAAATTGGAATGAAATTATTGCCTAACCCAATCCTGGTACACATACTGCGTTCCGGTGTCCACCATCTTGGTTCGCATACTACAGGAGTAACCAAGTTAGTAGTTAGAAGGAATACTCTAAAACAGAGTGGTCCAAACCCAGGCCCGCGGGCCACATGTTGCCCGCCGCTTCATTATCTGTGGCCCGCGTCGCATTTGCGCGAGGGTAAAAATTGCATTAGGTGTTGTTTCGTCATAAAAATAACCAAAAAAAATCTTTTGACATATTGTTGCATCACTAATTTTACTGAATTGACTAGTGTTTTGGCTAGCTGAGGCAACTAACAAAGTTTAATGATGTGCTTGGCTGTCTAAATTTTTATCGGGCTTTTCATCTTTTTGGTCGGAAATATATGCTAACAAAATAGGCTTCATCGAAAACTAAAAATCGAATGTGGAATCTATAAGCCTAGGTTGGCTATGCCTGATAACTAAATATTAAGCTAAAGCGCACTCGTGTTTCCTGAATGTATGTAAGATTAAAGATTCTCACGCTCGATAAATACCTGCAACAAGACCGAATACCTCATAATAATTAATTAAAATAGAAATCTTGACTGAAACTTTTTCGATGTTAAACAATTTATGTATGAATCCTATTATGCAGATCTTTCAAAAATGATTGTAATATTAGAGAAATTCTACCTCGCGCAGTTTCGACTACCACAGACTTAAGCTCACTACACGGCAAGAGTTTCAACTGCATATAAACACCTCAACATAATTCTACATTCTACACTTCAGCAAACGTAGATAGACGAACAGCAATCACGAATTACTAAGTGATAGCCTATAACTAATGCTGGCAATATAACACGACAACAACACTGACACGTTTTCATTGTAAATTTGCTCAAAGCAAAGTCACGAGAACTTGCTCAAAAGATGATCTCAAAGTTAAGCTAACGACGACCACTAATTTTATTTTACTTATTGTCACCATCAAGAATATTAAAGGGATAAATGGAATAGGTTTTCAGGTAGATCGACTTATGACAAGAGTTGATAGGAAAATATATCAAAGCACTTTAGAGTTGAGGCGTATGCCGTATATACGATAATATCGAAAAATTGCTGGCAAGCAGGTCGAAACATTAGAAATACTGTATGAAAAAAATGCAGCGAAAATACTAAATGACTATCGAGGATAACTTTTTTTTATTTCAACTTATTTTTGATCTACCAATGAGAATATGTACCGACCTTTCATTACCCAAACTTTATCTGGGATATGACTTAAAATTGATAGCTGAAAAACGGGCCAACGCGCCAACAACCTACTGCATGAAAAAATCACATGGCCAGTATTTAATAAGTTACTGTTAGCATAGCTTATTGACAGAAATAGACCGTTTCTAAACTTCTTGCATTTGGAATGATTCCTTTTTTCAATACTTGAGATCATTTGGCATTGGTGAAAATTATATAAATGTACAAAATCGCAATCGCGGCACCCCGTTCGTGTTAAAAAATTGATGAAACAAAATTTGCAATGAAATAAGAGTCGAACATTTTTCTTCAATATCAAGAAACAAGTATAATTATCGCAATATTAAAGCGTATTAGTGTTTTACTATGTTTCTTGATATAAACTTTTATGTGCTTCGGTAGGTCAACTGAACAGATTAATGTACTGAAAGCTGAAAGTGATTATTTGCGATCGCTGAAGACTTGAGCACACCGCACGGCACGAGTTTCAACTGCGTTTTGCAGGTTCAGGAATTGCCTCATTGCTGCTCACAGTCGTCGGTTGCGGTCACGTTTAGTCGTAGATGCGCTTGTCGTAAAATATTTCTCCGAACCCGGATATGCAAATGAGACATAGCAGATGACACGCAATAAGAGCAGAGTTTAAAATCGTACTCCTCAAGACATTGTTCCAAATGTTCTCGGAGTCTCTAGTAAAGTGTGTCTGGTTTTTAATTAACCTCCACAGAGAAAAGTATTCGTCAGGGCAAACTTAGTTCCTGATTCAAAAACAAAGAAACCCAACATTGAGTAACTTTTATGTGAAACGTTTGGATCTTTTTACAAATCCTGCGTCAAAAAACAACCCCGCCACCGCTCTAACTAAAAAAAGTAAATATCCAGTTAAGGTTTGGCTTGGGGTTAGGAATGCTGATTATTCCGAAAATTAAAATTTTCAAATCATTTATAACCCTAACTTGATGACTGATTTTCTAATTTGTTCTTTTAAAACTTGGCGGGCTTTTTTTTCTAATCTCGCATTTTCCCATTATTGTCAGTGTCTCGGTATAAAAGATTCAAATAATTATGTGCTAACTGATGACTTTCATTGCACTAGTTCGTTGAGTGTAATAATTTGAACTTGATATTTAGACACAGTTATGTTGAACGACAGTTCTTCTATAAGGACTCAGTTCCGTTCTGAATCTGATGACGCATGACGTTACGCAGTCGACGAAAATCATCTGACGCAGTGTACCATAACAGTATTTCGACAGTGTTTCGATTAATCACTGTAATTAGCAAATTGATAGCAAGCAGCTCGGATGCATTGTCAGTGTCTAGCTTAATGTTCATTGTTAGTTAGAGTCTTCCGAGACGTTTCTGATGTTTAGTATTGGTTTTAGTATTATCAATTTTGCGGTTAAAAATACCAATTTGGATTGAAGTTAGAATCGGGGTTGAATGCGAGATGCCCGATTGTAATTAAAATATAATTTTTGACTGCAGGTTAGGGCTGTATTATAGTAATACTAAGTAAATAGCAGCTGCTTTTATATTTTAGACATGCAAGTTACATTGCGTTCACTTTGAATTAAACTTTATTGGTTAGTGTCACCTGGGGATCTAAAACATGTGGTATGTATCTATTCAGTCTCAAATAAAGTAATGTATATATAATTTTATGCATTTAGTTATGTGCTGATATTTGTAAATTTTATTTACCACTGTACACTACTGTAAGATTTGTTTGGATATCCGCATGTTATAATCAGTTTGTTCATTGTTTTATGTAGGTTACGTTCGAGATGTCGATGTTCCTGACCATCCATCATATTAATTGTTATGAAAGAATTAAACCGATTTCAAATTGGATTCAATTGCGGCAAAACTTTGAGGCACAGAAAGCGAGATGGGCACTTTATTGCTTTGAGTCGAGTTGCTTGAAAACTGAATAGTAGTTGACAATAAATCGATTTGGCTGGGACCACGGGCATGGGGCACGTTTGACAATGGTCTCCATTCACGTAAAGCCAGGAAAGTGAGCAGGTTAACCTCATTCCTAAATGTTATCAAAACAAGAATTAACCGTGTTCGCTCGCGAATGTAATCACGTGGGATGAATAAGTGAGTAAGCTCATTCGGAGTATAATAATTTCATAAAATGACGAGAAGATTACTGACTATACGGAAAATAAAATCAAAAATAATTCTAATGTTGTGACTAGATTTCGGGACTACTTCAAATTGGAGAGTAATGCATTTGGAAAAATACCAGTATCTGAAAGCTACAGACATGAGTATTTTTAGTCAATAATTTGATTTTGAACAAAACATAACGTTCATATATGATTGCTTTTCAAAGTGAATAAGAAGATTCTTTAAACAGGAATATTGTCGAAAATATCGTACTTACGTATGTCATTATTCTTCTCCAAATCTTTGTAGTCAGAATCTCCTCTTCCATCAATGAATTGAAACACCGTTATACAAATCTACATTCTACGTTGGTCAGCATACATAGATAGACGAGCAGGGAATCGCCTGTATCGTTTTTTATCTGCAATCAAATTATAAGTCTCTAAAACAATGTTTATGCTCATTATGGCGTCATATTGGACCGGATTGGTAAACAAGGAATGGTACAGTAATGATGAAAATTTAATTACCAAAAAAGTACCAACGTATAGCACGTATACGCTTTTGACATTTTTCACAGCTGAGGATGACTTGAGACATGCGTAAATAAATTCAGTCACTGAACCATTGGATTGAAAGGAAATTGGCACAAAGAATGTCAATAACAGCAATCGCGATTTAGTAAGTGATAGCCTATAATTAATGCTGATAATATAAAACTACCATAACACTGAGACGTTTCAATTGGAAATTTGCTCAAAGTCACGAAAACTCAAAGTGAAGCTACCGACGACTACTAAAATACCAATAGATACTGACACTATGTATATATAGGGAAAAATAATATTGCGCGTTAGTAAATATCAACTGACGCAGTTCCTGTTGATTTGATTGAGAAATAACTATGAGGTATTGAATTCCAAATAGCTGAATCTCGTGGAAGAAAATCTCGAAGCATAGAATATTTTGTCTGGTATTTCACTGACTGTAAACGGGTGAGAATTCACAGTAAACCGAACTTGACGATAAAATTGTTAGACTTCCCAATGCATAACGCGAATCTATGGTTGTGACCATTTCTGTTTACTTATTGTCACCATCCAGAATTAACACTGAAGATAAGAAGAATAAGCTTTCAGGTAAGTCGACTTGAGACAAGAGTTGTAGGAAAATAAAAAAAAACTTTAGTTTAGAGTAAAGGTGTATGTCGTATTTCTGGCAAGCAGGTTGAAACATTGGAAATACCGTATGAAGAAAATACAGGAAAATGCTAGATGACTACCGTGGATAACTTTTTCATTTCAACCTATTTGTCACCAATGAGATTATGTACCGCCTTTCATTTACTGAATTATATCTGAGATATTACTAAACATTTACTGAGTAACTGAAGAACGGACCAACGCGCCAACAAATACTGAAAAAATCTGAAAATCACATAGCCAGTATTCATTAAGTTACCGTTAGGTCATTGACAGAAACAGACCGAATCTAACCTCCTTGCATTTGAGATGATTCATTTTTTTTCAATACTTAAGATAATTTGGCATTTGTTAAATATATATAAATATACAAAATCTTTGTAGTATAACATATAAAGTCGCAATAAACTAGAAGCAAACATTCCCTTTTGAATAGTCTAGCTAGGAGACTTGGTTGTTTCTTTACAGAACCGTGTTCGTGTTCGAGGTACTTCTATATAACATTGCACATTAGGGAACAATTCACGACCAACTTAAAATCCCAGATATGATCAGTTAAATATTTATTGGAAATAAAATTTGCAATGGACTATATTTTTCAAGATATTAGGAAACGAGCAAAATTAAAGCGTATACGTCTTTAACTTTATTTCTGAATATAAGCTTTTATATGCGTCGGAAGTGCAACTGAACAGCTAAAAGTACTGAAAGCTAAAAGTGATTTTTTTAACAATTTACAAATTCAATTAATATTAATATACTAAAACTTGTCCTTGATGCGGAAAACCAAAAATTGCAATGAACTATAAATCAAACAAGCCTATTTTTTTGATTGCGACATAATTGCTTTTTGTACAGTAGCGTGTTAGAGTTGATACTACTATACAATATTATTGAGTTTGGAAGCATTAACGACCCGAATAGTATTTTATGTTTGCAATAGTTTAGTTAGACCCTTCATAACTTCAGATATGATGAGATACACTATCAACGGAAGAAAGTTTATCAATATCATGAACGAATTAAAAGTTTACTTCATTAGCGTTTCAATAGTTACAAACCCGCCTGAAATAAATACCAAACTCACATTTCACCGAAATTATCCTATTGACTATAGTTCATAGTATATTATACTTTGGGTGCCTCCGCAGGTAATCCAGAGTGGATAAATAAGTGAGTCAGCTCAAGTTGGGGTGAAATAATTTTATTAAATGACGATAATATTTCCGAATATACGAAAATTAAAATCGAATCAATTTCTCGTGTTGTGACGAGATTTCGGGACCACTTCAAACTTGCGAAATACAGCATTTTTTGAAAAATATCAGAATCTACAAGTTAAAAGTGCATTTTATTCAATACATTTGGATTTTGGAACAAAAAAATTTACGTTGATATCTGAATCCAGGAAGCGTTTCTCAACAGGCTTATATCCGAAAAAAATATTTACAACCTCCAAAAACTTTAAAACTTCGTTTTAAATCCTTGGTAGTCCAGAATCTCCTCTTCTATTCAATAAATTAAAACCCCTTTATACAATTTTACACCTCCACGTTTGGGTCAACAAACGGCAAGTCATTCGTCTGTACTCGGCTTTCTTTCAACATTCAATTATTACTCCATTCATAATTGACAGTCATACTGAACCGATGGGCCAACCTGTGTGAACAAAGGAAGGATAAAGATGCATTACAAAAGTTTAAATATCAAAAAGTACAGACGTTTAGCACTTTGGAATGTCAATGACAGCAAATGCGATTCAGGCAATGATATAAACTGATTCTAACAATATAACACAACCATACAACTGACTCGATTTTGTAGGAAAATTTGCTCAAAGCAAAGTCACGCGAAATTACTCAAAAGATCTTTGATCTCAATTTTGTTTACTTCATTAGCGTTTCAATAGTTACAAAATAGCCTAAATACAACAGCAAACTCACAATTCACTGAAATATTCTTGTTATCTTTTTCTCTTCTCTGAAACTGGTTTGACTTCTCCTCTTTTCTAAAAGAATTTGTGTTTATTTTTCAAATGCTTCTCAGCTTAATAAAAGTCTGTCTTTTGCGCGTATCGCTGACTCCCTGGAATAAAAATAAAGCATTTACTGCATTGTTTTAACTAATTACTGCGTCATGAGGAACCTATTTCTAACATTTCAATGTGGACAAAGAAAACATAAAAGGCTTTTAAGCTAAAGCGCACTCGTGTTTCCTGAATGTATGTAAGATTAAAGATTCTCACGCTCGATAAATACCTGCAACAAGACCGAATACCTCATAATAATTAATTAAAATAAATATCTTGACTGAAACTTTTTCGATGTTAAACAATTTATGTAGGAATCCTATTATACAGATCTTTCAAAAATGATTGTAATATTAGAGAAATTCACCTCGCACGTCAAGAGTTTCAACTGCATTTAAACACCTCAACACAATTCTACATTCTACACTTCAGCAAACGTAGATAGACGAACAGCAATCACGATTTAGTAAGTGATAGCCTATAACTAATGCTGGCAATATAACACGACAACAACACTGACACGTTTTCATTGTAAATTTGCTCAAAGCAAAGTCACGAGAACTTACTCAAAAGATGATCTCAAAGTTAAGCTAACGACGACCACTAATTTCATTTTACTTATTGTCACCATCAAGAATATTAAAGGGATAAATGGAATAGGTTTTCAGGTAGATCGACTTATGACAAGAGTTGATAGGAAAATATATCAAAGCACTTTAGAGTTGAGGCGTATGCCGTATATACGATAATATTAAAAAATTGCTGGCAAGCAGGTCGAAACATTAGAAATACTGTATGAAGAAAATGCAGCGAAAATATTAAATGACTATCGAGGATAACTTTTTTTTATTTCAACCTATTTTTTATCTACCAATGAGAATATGTACCGACATTTCATTACCCAAACTCTATCTGTGATATGACTGAAAATTGATAGCTGAAAAAACGGGCCAACGCGCCAACAAATACTGCATGAAAAAATCACATAGCCAGTATTTAATAATTACTGTTAGCATAGCTTATTGACAGGAATAGACCGTTTCTAAACTGCTTGCATTTGAAATGATTCATTTTTTCAATCCTTGAGATCATTTGGCATTAGTTAAAATTATATAAATGTACAAAATCGCGTTCGCAGCACCCCGTTTGTGTTAAAAAATTGATGAAACAAAATTTGCAATGAAATAAGAGTCGAACATTTTTCTTCAATATCAAGAAACAAGTATAAATATCACAATATTAAAGCGTATTAGTGTTTTACTATGTTTTTAGATATAAACTTTTATGTGCGCCGGTAGGTCAACTGAACAGATGAAAGTACTGAAAGTGATTGTTTGCCATCGCTGAAGACTTGAGCACACCGCACGGCACCACGAGTTTCAACTGCGTTTTGCAGGTTCAGGAATTGCCTCATTGCTGCTCACAGTCGTCGGTTGCGTTCACGTTTAGTCGTAGATGCGCCTGTCGTAAAATATTTCTCCGAACCCGGACATGCAAATGAGAAATAGCAGATGACACGCAATAAGAGCAGAGTTTAAAATCGTACTCCTCAAGAGATTGTTCCAAATGTTCTCGGAGTCTCTAGTAAAGTCTGTCTGGTTTTTAATTAACCTCCACAGAGAAAAGTATTCGTCAGGGCAGTATTTCGACAGTCTTTGGATTAATCACTGTAATTAGCAAATTGAGAGCAAGCAGCTCGGATGCATTGTCACTGTCTAGCTTAATGTTCATTGTTAGTTAGAGTCTTCGGAGACGTTTATGATGTTGAGTATTGGTTTTAGTATTCTCAATTTTGCGGTTAGGAATACCTATTTGGATTGAAGTTAGAATCGGGGTTGAATGCGAGATGCCCGATTGTAATTAAAATATAATTTTTGACTGCAGGTTAGGGCTGTATTATAGTTATACTAGTAAATAACAGCTGCTTTTATATTTTAGACATGCAAGTTACATTGAGTTCACTTTGGATTAAACTTTATTGGATAGTGTCACCTGGGGATCTAAAACATGTGGTATGTATCTAATCAGTCTCAAATAAAGTAAAGTATATATAATTTTATGCATTTAGTTATGTGCTGATATTTGTAAATTTTAATTGCCACTGTACACTACTGTAAGATTTGTTTAGATATCCGCATGTTATATTCAGTTTGTTCATTGTTTTCTGTAGGTTACGTTCGAGATGTCGATGTTCCTGATTTTGTTTCAAGTACCATCGTAATAATTGTTATGAAAGAATTAAACCGATTTCAAATTGGATTCAATTGCGGCAAAACTTTGAGGCACAGAAAGCGAGATGGGCACTTTATCGCTTTGAGTCGAGTTGCTTGAAAACTGAATATAGTTGACAATAAATCGATTTGGCTGGGACAGGGCATGGGGCACGTTGACAATGGTCTCCATTCACGTAAGCCAGGAAAGTAGAAGATTAACTCATTCTTAAATGTTATCAAAACAAGAAGAACCGTGTTCGCTCGCGATGTAATCAAGTGTGGATGAATGAGTGAGTAAGCTCATTACGGAGTATAATATAATTTCATAAAATGACGAGAGATTACTGACTATACGGAAAATAAAATCAAAAATAATTCTTATGTTGTGACTAGATTTCGGGACTACTTCAAATTGGAAAGTAATGCATTTGGAAAAATACCAATATCTGAAAGATACAGACATGAGTATTTTTAGTCAATAATTTGATTTTGAACAAAACATAACGTTCATATATGATTGCTTTTCAAAGTGAATAAGAAGATTCTTTAAACAGGGTTTTGTGTCGAAAATATCGTACGTCTCAAAAACTTACGTATGTCATTATTCTTCTGCAAACATTTGTAGTCAGAATCTCCTCTTCCATCAATGAATTGAAACACCGTTATACAAATCTACATTCTACGTTGGTCAGCATACATATAGACGAGCAGGAATCGCCTGTATCGTTTTTTATCTGCAATCAAATTATAAGTCTTAAAACAATGTTTATGTCATTATGACGTCATATTGGATTGGCTTGGTAAACAAGGAATGGTACAGTAATGATGAAAATTTTAATACCAAAAAAGTACCAACGTATAGCACGTATACGCTTTTGACATTTTTCACAGCTGAGGGTGACTTGAGACATGCGTAAATAAATTCAGTCACTGAACCATTGGGTTGAAAGGAAATTGGCACAATGAATGTCAGTAACAGCAATCGCGATTTAGTAAGTGATAGCCTATAATTAATGCTGATAATATAAAACGACCACAACACTGAGACGTTTCAATTGGAAATTTGCTCAAAGTCACGAAAACTCAAAGTGAAGCTACCGACGACTACTAATATACCAATAGATACTGACACTATGTATATATATAGAATAATGGTAATGCGCGTTAGTAAATATCAACTGACGCAGTTCCTGTTGATTTGATTGAGAAATAACTATGAGGTATTGAATTCCAAATAGCTGAATCTCGTGGAAGAAAATCTCGAAGCATAGAATATTTTGTCTGGTATTTCACTGACTGTAAACGGGTGAGAATTCACAGTAAACCGAACTTGACGATAAAATTGTTAGACTTCCCAATGCATAACGCGAATCTATGGTTCTGTTTACTTATTGTCACCATCCAGAATTAACACTGAAGATAAGAAGAATAAGCTTTCAGGTAAGTCGACTTGAGACAAGAGTTGTAGGAAAATAAAAATAAAACTTAAGTATGTCGTATATGCAATAATATCTAAAAATTTCTGGCAAGCAGGTTGAAACATTAGAAATACCGTATGAAGAAAATACAGAAAATGCTAAATGACTATCGTGGATAACTTTTTCATTTCAGCCTATTTGTGACCAATGAGATTATGTACCATACTTTCATTTACTAAATTATATCTGAGATATTACTAAACATTTACTAAGTAACTGAAGAACGGACCAACGCGCCAACAAATACTGAAAAAATCTGAAAATCACATAGCCAGTATTCATTAAGTTACCGTTAGGTCATTGACAGAAACAGAATCTAAGACCTCCTTCTAGGCATTTGAGATGATTTTCATTTATTTTTAATACTTAAGATAATTTGGCATTTGTTAAATAATATAAAATACAAAATCTTTGTAGTATAACATATAAAGTCGCAATAAACTAGAAGCAAACATTCCCTTTTGAATAGTCTAGCTAGGAGACTTGGTTGTTTTCTTTACAGAACCGTGTTCGTGTTCGAGGTACTACTATATAACATTGCACATTAGGGAACAATTCACGACCAACTTAAAATCCCAGATATGATCAGTTAAATATTTATTGGAAATAAAATTTGCAATGGACTATATTTTTCAAGATATTAGGAAACGAGCAAAATTAAAGCGTATACGTCTTTAACTTTTTTTCTGAATATAAGCTTTTATATGCGTCGGAAGTGCAACTGAACAGCTAAAAGTACTGAAAGCTAAAAGTGATTTTTTTTAACAAATTACAAATTCAATCATTATTAATAATACTAAAACTTGTTCTTGATGACGAAAAACCAAAAATTGCAATGAACTATAAATTAAACATCCTTATTTTTTTAATTGCGACATAATTGCTTTCTCCAATTTCTCCAATATTACAATCTTTTTTGAAAGATCTGTATAATAGAATTTTTACATAAATTGTTTTACATATGTAAATTTCTGTACAAATTCTTTACGACACGTCGAGAAAGTTTCAGTCAAGATATTTATTTTAAACGTCTGTACTTTTTTGATATTTAAACTTTTGTAATCATTTTATCCTTCTTTATTCACCAGCAGACTGGCCATCGATTCAGAATGACGTCAAAATGAATAGAAACAATATTTATGGAGTTATAATGTGATTGTTGATAAAAACCGATACAGACAAATACTTGCCGTTTGCCGACCAATGTGGAGTGTAGAGTTGTATAAAGGTGTTTCATCAATTCATTGATAGAAGAGGAGATTCTGACTACAAAGATTTAGAGAAGCTTAATGAGAGGCGTAAGATTTTTAGGTGTAATATTTTTTTTTGGATATAACGCTTTTGAGGAACCTTCTGATTCACATATCAACGTAATGTTTTGCTAAAATCCAAATTATTGAATTAATAAAATCACTCATATTTTTCAAAATGCTGTATTTCGCAAGTTTGAAGTGCTCCCGAAGTCTCGTCACAACACGAGAAATTGATTTGATTTTAATTTTCGTATAGTCAGTAACCTTATCGTCAGTTAATAAAATTATTTCACTCCAACTTGAGCTCATGCACTCATTTATCCACTCTGAATTACTGAATGGTTTTGAGCCATGCTCTACAAGGTGGTGGTCTTGAAATCCTGAATTTCTCAATAATAAAAATTTTAGCTGGACTTAGGACTGTAGAAGTTAAGAACAGAATGGGCCTAAGTCCAGCTAAATATTTTAATATTATGAAATTCAAAATTTCAAGACCACCACCTTGTAGAGCATGGCTCAAAACCCCAAAATACTGAAAAAAGATAGTCCCAAGTTCCAATATGATGGGCATGAACATCAGATATGAAATATTCGAAATTTACATCCCTAAAAATTTCTTCAGTGCAACTTAGGCCTAAGTCACCTTGTTTTACCTTGCATCCCATACACAAAAATTCAGAAGTTGTTGAGAACAAAATGGGCCAAAGTCCATTATGGGGTTAAAAAAGCAAGAAGGAATTGAAGCTGAAGTGCCCAAAAATATTGATTACAAAGATATTCACATCCACATTAAAATAACCAGAGCTCATTTCTTTACTAGGTGTGAATATCTAGAAATTCAAAAATAAAAAAATTCCGAATTGTTTTTTGCGTTTTTCTCAAAACTCAAAATTGTGACTTAGGGCTGTTCTGTTCTCATCCGGCGAATATGTTTATTTTGGACGTAAAAAATTGAAAAACGTTTGATTCGTAGTTCATTGATAAACTTTCCTCCGTTGATAGTGTATCTCATCATATCTGAAAGTATGAAGCTGTCTAAACTATTGCAAACATAAAATACTATTTTTAGTCGTTAATGGTTCCAAACTTAATAATATTGTATAGTAGTATCAAATATAACGCGTTACTGTACAGAAAGCAATTATGTCGCATTCAAAAAAGGAATAGGCTTGTTTGGTTTATTGTTAATTGTAATTTTTTGTTTTTCGATATCAAAAACAAGTTTTGGTTGAATTTGTAAATTGTTAAAAAAATCACTTAGCTTTCAGTACTTTTAGCTGTTCAGTTGCACTTCCGACGCATATAAAAGTTTATATTCAGAAAAAACGTATACGCTGTAATTTTGCTCGTTTCTTAATATCTTGAAAAATGTAGTCCATTGCAAATTTTATTTCGAATGAATTTTTAACTGATTATATCTGGGATTTTCAGTTGGTCGTGAATTGTTCCCGACTCTGCAGTATTATATAGTAGTATCTCGAACACGTACACGGTTCTGTCAAGAAAAAAACCAAGTCTCCTAGCTAGACCATTCAAAAGGTAATGTTTGCTTCTAGTTTATTTCTACTTTATATGTTCTACTACAAGGATTTTGTATATGTATATATATATTTAACAAATGCCATATAATCTTAATCAATGAAAAAAAATGAATCATTTCAAATGCAAGGAAGTTAGATTCGGTCTATTTCTGTCAATGACCAAACGGTAACTTAATGAATACTGGCTATGTGATTTTCAGATTTTTTTCAGTATTTGTTGGCGCGTTGGTCCGTTCTTCAGTTACTTAGTAAATGTTTAGTAATATCTCAGATATAATTAAGTAAATGAAGGGCCGGTACATAATCTCATTGGTCACAAATAGGTTGAAATGAAAAAAAGTTATTAACGATAGTCATTTAGCATTTTTGCTGTATTTTTTTCATACGGTATTTCTGATATTTCAACCTGCTTGCCAGAATTTTTTAGATATTATCGCATATACGACATACACCTTAACTCTAAAGTTTTATTTTCTTTTAACTCTTGTCTCAAGTCGATCTATCTAAAGCTTATTCTTCTTATCTTTAGTGTAAATTCTGGATGGTGACAATAAGTAAACAGAAATGGTCACAACCATAAGTTCGCGTTATGCATTGGGAAGTCTAACAATTTTAGCCGTCATATTCGGTTTACTGTGAGTTCTCACCCGTTTACAGTCAGTGAAATACCAGACAAAATATCCTATGCTTCGAGATTTTCTTCCGCGAAATTCAGCAATTTGGAATTTAATACCTTATAGTTATTTCTTAATCAAATTAACACGAACTGCTTCAAGCCTCGCGTCAGTTAACATGTACTAACTCGCATTACCATTATTCTCTATACATAGTGTCAGTATCTCTTGGTATATTAGTAGTCGTCGGTATCTTCACTTTTCGTGACTTTGAGCAAATTTCCAATAGAAACGTCTCAGTGTTATGGTCGTTTTATATTATCAGCATTAATTATAGGCTATCACTCACTAAATCGCGATTGCTGTTATTGACGTTCCTCGTGCCAATTTCCTTTCAACTCAATGGTTCAGTGACTGAATTTATTTAGGCATGCTGTAAAAAATGTTAGAAGCGTAGGTGCTATACGTTGGCACATTTTTGGTATTTAAATTTTCATCATTACTATATCAATCCTTGTTTACCAGGCCGGTCCAATATGACGTCATAATGAAGATAAACACTCTTTTAATGACTTATAATTTGATTGCAGATAAAAACCGATACAGGCGATTCCCTGCTCCTCTATCTATGTATGCTGACCAACGTAGAATGTAGATTTGTATAACGGTGTTTCAATTCACTGATGGAAGAAAAGATTCCAACAACAAAGATTTGGTTAAGAATAATGACATGCGTAAGTTTTTGAGACGTACGATATTTTCGACAATATCCCTGTTTAAAGAATCTTCTTATTCACATTAAAAAGTAATCATATATTAACGTTATGTTTTGTTCAAAATCAAATTATTGACTAAAAATACTCATGGTTGTAGCTTTCAGATACTGGTATTTTTCAAATGTCCAATTCCAAATTTCCCTGTCCCAGCCAAATCGATTTATTGCCAACTATGTTCAGCTTTCAAGCAACTCGACTCACAGCGATAAAGTGCCCATCTCGCTTTCTTTGCCTCAAAGTTTTGCCGCAATTGAATCCAACTTAAAATCGGTTTTATTCTTTCATAACACTTAATACGATGATACTTGAAACAAAATCAGGAACGTCGACATCTCGAACGTAACCTACAGAAAACAATGAACAAACCGAATATAACATGCGGATATCTGAACAAATCTTACAGTGGTGTACAGTGGCAATTAAAATTTACAAATATCAGCAGATAACTAAATGCATAAAATTATTTATAGGTTACTTTATTTGAGACTGATTAGATACATACCCCATGTTTTAGATCCCCAGGTGACACTATCCAATAAAGTTTTATCCAAAGTGAACTCAATGTATCTTGCATTACTAAAATCTAAAAGCAGCTGTTATTTACCTGATATACCTATAGAACAGCCCCAACCTGCAGTCAAAAACTATATTTTAATTACAGTCGGGCACATCGCATTTAACCCCGAATCTAACTTCAATCCATATATGGTATTTCTAAATACAAAATTCAGAATACTAAAACCAGTACTAAACATCAGAAACGTCTCCGAAGACACTAACAATGAACATTAAGCTAGACAGTGACAATGCATCCGAGCTGATTGCTATCACTTTGCTAATTACAGTGATTAATCGTAACACTGTCGAAATACTGTTATGGGACACTGCGTCAGTCGATTTTCGTCCACTGCGTAACGTCATGCGTCATTATATCCAGAACTGAACTGAGTCCTTATAGGAGAGCTGTCGTTCAACATAGCTGTCTAAATAACAAGTTCAAACTATTACACTTAACGAACTAGTGCAATGAAAGTCATTGGTTAGCACATAATTATTCGAATCTTTTATACCGAGACCCTGACAATAATGGGAAAATGCGAGAACAAGTTTTAAAAGAAAAAATTAGCAAATCATTCGTAAAGTTAGAGTTTTAAAAGATTTAAAAATTTTAATTTCCGGAGTAATCAGCATCCCTAACCCCAAGCCAAACCCTAACTGGATAATTACTTTTTTTGTTCAGAGCGGTGGCGGGTTCGTTTTTTGGCGCAGGGTTTGCAAAAAAGATCCAAACGTTTCACATAAAAGGTACTTTGTTTTTGAATCAGGGACTAAGTTTGCCCTGAGTAATACTTTGCTCTGTGGAGGTTAAATAAAAACCAGACAGTCTTCACTAGAGACTTCGAGAACATTTGGAACAATCTCTTGTGGAGAACGATTTTGAACTCTGCTCATATTGCGTGTCATCTGCTATGTCTCATATGCATGTCCGGGTTCGGAGAAATGTTTTACGACAAGCGCAGCTGCGACTAAACATGACCGCAACCGACGACTGTGAGCGGCAATGAGGCAATTCCTGAACCTGCGAAACGCAGTTGAAACTCGTGCCGTGCGGTGTGCTTAAGTCTTCAGCGATTGCAAAAATTCACTTTCAGCTTTCAGTACTTTTATCTGTTCAGTTGACCTACCGACGCACTTAAAAGTTTATATCAAAAAACATAGTAAAACACTAATACATATTAATAATACGATGATTATACTCGTTTCTTGATATTGAAGAATAATGTTCAATTCGTATTTCATTGCAAATTTTGTTTCATCAAATTTTTAACACGAACGGGGTGCTGCGAACGCGATTTTGTACATTTATATATTTTTAACAAATGCCAAATGATCTCAAGTATTAAAAAAATGAATCAAAGTTTAGTAAATGAAAATTCGGTACATATTCTCATTGGTAAAAATAGGTTAAAATATAGGAAAAAATTATCCACGATAGTCATTTAGCATTTTCGCTGTATTTTCTTCATATGTTATTTCTAATGTTTCAACCTGCTTTCCAAAATTTTTTAGATATTATCGCATATACCAGTGATTCCCAAAGTGGGCGATATCGCCCCCCGGTGGGCGAAAATGATACAGAGGGGGGCGAAAAAGTCGAAGGGGGCGATAGGGGGCGATTTCGCGAAACCTGTTTTTGCTCGGCGCACAGTGCACTTAATTCTGTACTCTGTATGCATTCACAGGCTTGAATCTCGTGGTCGATTATCACACGCGAAAAGATTGCTGGACTCGTCTCCGCAGTAAGGTACGGTAGTTTGCGTATCCCAGTGGTCGGCAAAATACGGCCTGAGTAAAATAATCTGGCCCGGGACGATTCACTGAATGGACCTTTCCCCGACCTTTGACCGCGGAAAATTTCTCCTATACTTTACCATTTTAAAATTTTCTGTGCTTATTTTAAGAGTGGTTTTGCGAGTTGTTGCCTGTGTAGAATGGGGTATTTGTTTCAAAACTATCATCATAATTCATATCATTCAACAATCTGTTTTTTAAAAGTACCGATAAAGAATTTTAGTCTAGTCTATCACAGCTATTTATAATCTAATTTTTGATTACTGTATTTAAACTGAAACTCATAGGAAGACAAAGTAATCATTGACGTATATGATTTACATTTAAATTTCCGGAAAACAACTAAAAACTAACGATTATAATCCAAAAACGGGAAAATGAGAAATGTTCACGACCACGTATGAAAGTCTGTCTGAGTGAGTGTGTCTGAGCGGATGCGAAAAGGGGTATTGTTACGTTTATTTTTGCATTTTGCTGATTGGCCAATGTCACGATGTAAACAAGGAAGTCTAAGCCCGGGTAAACATCCAAACGGCGGTTTTGACGATGAATTTATTTTATTTATAATCTACGCTCGAGGGGTAAATTACATTTCTCACGTAACAGAATTTATCGTGAGACACGTTTAGACTAAATATTATTATAATCCTGAAAATTCTATTGAACAGCTAGCTACTCCGTTTAACGAGCCTACAATTTAATTCTAATTGGACAAATGGAAACACGAAGAAAAAAAGTTGATGTTGAGGGCAAGGGTTCATAGCGCAGTAAATATTTGAATATATTGCGAATGCTATACGGAAATAAATTCATATTCTATTCGAGAGATTCATCACTGCGTAATTTTTGTAAGAGGTACCTTCTTGAAGAAAATCTTTATTAAAATTCACAAACCAGCGGGAATATTCACTTAGATGTTCGGAAGTACATATTTGTGCGAACATTATTTTCGAAAATAGACATTACAAAGAACAAGCAAAAACTGGGATCAGCCCATTTAGAAAATGTTCCAAATCTTGACGTCGTAAAGCTACCAAGCGTGATGCAGCAACAAGACAGTGTCACATTAAAGGTCATTGTAATAATTTTTTAATAAAGATGATTAAAGTTGAGTTCACGAATTGTCGCAATTTTCACGCGCTCTTCCGTTTTTAACTTTTTAAAAAATATATGCGACCGCAAAAGACTAGCAACCCTAAATTTTGTCTCGCGAGCGACATAAATTTGCCGACCCCTGGGCCGTAGTCGATAGTCGGTCACAGCTTCTTCTACATCCGAGTCCATGAATCCAAAAACAATAGCTGATTAATTCTATGGACTGGTGAATCGGACTGGAGCCGTGGTAGGATGAGGAATCGGGTATCGAGTATTTTGGTGCAGGTCATCAGGCTGTAGGAATGATGAGATGTACGGAATCATTATTATAACTTTGGGAAAATTAACTTTGTTTTCATTATTTTAATGTGAAATGGGGTGAATTTAGGGAGTGAAATGCTATAAGGCAAGAGTACACGGCGGTTTTTGAGGAGGTAGAACCCTGGATTCTTTCATTTCCGACCTATTATTATGGTGAAAAGGGTTTTTTGAGCCGTGCTACTATTGCTATCAAAACAATGAAATCGCCTTTCCATCAGTAAACTGGGTAATTTCAGATATAATAAAAAACTCGATGAAGAACACCAAGCTCATCCATCTCATTAAAAAACACCATAAACTATGATTGGTCTTCTTATTTGGTCTGTAATATATTCGTTTCTGACTTTACATTTTTTTGTAGTGCTGGGGGGCGATGAAGTTGTGTAAACTAGTGTAGGGGGGCGATGGTCAAAAAAGTTTGGGAACCACTGGCATATACGACATACACCTTAACTCTAAGGTGCTTTTTCCCCTACAACTCTTGTCTCAAGTCGATCTACCTGAAAGCTTATTCTTCTTATCTTCAGTGGTAATTCTGGATGGTGACAATAAGTAATCAGAAATGGTCACAATCATAGATTCACGTTAGGCATTGGGAAGTCAATTTTAGCCGTCAAGTTCGGTTTACTGTGAATTCTCACCCGTTTACAGTCAGTGAAGTACCAGACAAAATATTTTTTGCTTCAAGATTTTCTTCCACGACATTCAGCTATTTGGAATTTAATATCTCATAGTTATTACTCATCGATTTTAATCGGTAAGTATGTTGATAGGTATTTGTCTGTCTGTATGTCTGTCTGTTTGTCTGTTAGATGCACGCGATATCTCACGAAAGCGAAATTGAATCTGCTCCAGATTTTGCATGTGCATTCATCTTATCTCGGACCAGAAGCCTATTGGTTTTGGGCGAATTATGTCGTATAATTAGCGAGTTATTAATTAATTAGTGATGGGACACAAAGTGTCACTATGGAGTAAGAGCGCTGTTTTGGGGGATCCCCTAACTTTCGATCGTTAAGTCAACGGTCTCTGACCGATATTCTCGTTTATTTCTTAATCAAATTAACACGAACTGCTTCAAGCCTCGCGGCAGTTGATATTTACTAACTCGCATTACCATTATTCTCTATACATAGTGTCAGTATCTCTTGGTATATTAGT